ATATATATATATATATATATATATTAAAAAAATTTGAATATCGTGAAAAATTATTTTTTTTGTAACTTATTTCAAAAAGTGAAACTTTCATATATTCTAGATTCATTACATGTAAAGTAAAACATTTCAAAAGTTTTTTTGTTTTATTTATTTATTTTTATTTTGATGATGAGTCAAAAATCTAAATTTTGTGCAAAATTTTTAATTTTGTGTAATTTTTTTTTTTTAGCAAGTTAAAACCATTATGGTAAATTAAGTGTGCTTCCATCATGGTCCATAAAATGAAAGTTAAACTATTAAATATGATGGAACACATCTAAAAAGTTGTTTTGTGTTGTTATTTTATCATTCTCATGGTGTGCGTCTTTTCTCTGGCAGGGCTTTACGCGGGCATCAAGTTCTTTATTATAGACTTCCTGTTTAAGAGCTGCCCAAAACTCCGAGACAAATACGACACTCCGTACATCATGTGGAACAGCCTGCCCACCGACCCTCAGCTGAAAGAACGCAGCAATGCCACTGTGTCACGACGGGTGAGAGAGAAAGGGACAATGTCAGGCTCTAACACCAGCCTCCTGGCTGTTTTCACACTTTAAATGTCATACCTATTTGAACCGTTTGTTTCAAAGTGTCAGGCACTGTATATGTGTGTGTATGAGAGTCATGGGTGTTGCCTCGTAGGGGAAACATCAGTGTAGGTAGTTGACATGACAGTCATACATAATCTGTTGTCTTTCTCTCTCAGCTGTCTGGGTGTGAGAAGGTAGGGATTGTGATGTGCTTCTGCCAGCACCTGTGTGTGTGTGTGTGTGTGTGTGATGAAACCAGCTGACCTTACTTTTTTTACCTTTGTGTGTTTGGATCTAGATGCACAGTGTGATATGAATTTTGTCTGTGCTCAAATGGGTGAAAATTGGGTGAATCCACCAAAGAAATGTCCAGGTTGCATATCACCACAAAATCAAAAGATAAAAATAAATATACATCTTTTTTTTAACCATACAGGGTTTTTTCCCCCTATATGCTTACAATTAAGCATATTTCCTATCCAAATTCACATTACTGTAATACAAAAAGGCATGTACTATGCTATAATTTCTCTAATAGGAATATGTATTTATTTTACATTTACTAAATTATTTTACAATTCAAAAATTATATAATCTTATGCATTACAGTAATAAGTTTTTTTGCATTATGGTAATGAAATTGTGTGTTAGGGTTGTGCTTTATTGTCATAAAAAATGATGTCACAACGCAAATATGAATGAATTTATTGTAAAGTCTTTATTTTATTAATACAAAATATAATTTTCTTTGTTATTATGTGGTGAAATAACACCATATAATAATATTTATGGACATTTCTTGACAGATTTTGTGTAATTCACCTTATTATTATATTTATTTTTTTTCACATTTTGTTTAAAAAATCATATTAATGTCATTAATTGACTGATCTGCTAATTATATTTAAAGTGCCCCTATTATGGGTAATGACATTTCATATTTTGGTTTTGGGAGTCCCCAACAACAGGTTGACATGCATGCAAGGTCAAAAAACACTTTCATTGTCTTGTAATATGCATTTATTTTTACCTTACTTGCTCAACAATTCATTTTTCCAAACCCCTCCTTTGCGTGATGCTAATCTGCGGTGATTGGTCCGATTGGTCTCATTTTCATTTCATCATGCCTGTAATGCCTGATAAAGCCGTGTTTGTGAGCACAGTGCTGCTTTGTGTACAGCTGTTACCGGGGAAACCGCTATTTTTACCGCTCCAAAAGCGGCACCTAGTGTCAAAGAATGAATTTGCACTTTCATTCAGACCAACGGGAAAAGACCAACAAGTGGGCTATCAATATGCTAATGTTTCATGTTGACGTCAACATGAAACGGCTTGGGATTTGTTTTAAAAACGACTCGTTTCAATGATTCAGAGTCGACTCTTTCTTTTGAGAGACAATAACTTTTTACACGGTGCACTTTCAGATTTAAAATTTTGCAGGATGTTTTCATTCACTTAGAGCTGTGTTACACTCTGCATGAAAGGTAATTTTCAAAAATCAATAATAGGGGCACTTTAATATTAATGACTTAATACAATCTAATTCAATTGAATGTTTACTGCTATTGTGGCATTTTGAATCCATTTTCACAGACTGTGTGATGGGTATGCTCTGTGTGTGCATAGATAGTGTCATTCAAGACAAAAAGGATCGCTTTGCTCAAAAAATGGAGTAGTTTCCACCAGTGCTATTTTAGTATCATTGAGATATTATTATAGTTTTTATTTTATTTTATTTTGATTCGTTTTTGTTCACATATATAT